GCGTGAAGTTGCGAGTGCAGCCGAAACTCGCGGCAGACACGGGCGAAGGCAGAGGGATGAATGCGGGCTACGGGAGTTGTGCGGAAGGGAGGAGAAGGGGGAAGAGGCCGGGCGGTAGACCGGGACCGCTGCCGCCGGTGGGCGGCTGGGAAGTTTCGGGACAAACAATAACTACAACAACAACAGCGGCGGTGGCGGCGGCAGCGGCGGTGGTGGCGGCGGCAGCGGCGGCGGCAGCAGCGGCAGCGGCGGCGACGACAACGGCGGTGGCGGCGGCGTCGGCGACGAAGGCAAGTGTACGTCGTGCACGCGCCGACGATAATTACAACAATAACCGTAACGACGTGAGTGGCGGGTGAGGAAGCGGGAGCGGGTGACGGCGGTTTAATTAGAATCGTGTCTGTCGCCGACTTAAGCTCCCTCGTCGACTCGCTTTGAACGGCGCCGGGCCGCTCGCGGGATTTCGCCGCCTATCCCCGTGACACGTAAGTGAAAAATCCGCTTAACCCTCTCACGCTTAATGACTTGTACGTGTCGCATAAGAGAGATAAACCTTTTTTTTTTGTCGAAATCGTGCACGAGCGTATTTATGAGAGATATTATATAATATTCAAAAGCGGACAATCGGTAAGTGAAACATGTATTATGGAATGATTAAGATGGCAATAGAACAAAAGGGTATCTAAACATCTGTGCTTGATTTGAAGATATGACAAAGGTATAATATTTTAATGTGAAAATTAGGTCGAAAAAAATTATCGATTTTTTTCATAGTCATATAATCATTCTCGCGATCTGTAAAAAGAATTTGTAAAAAAATTTACTCCCGAGATATATAGACACTGATTTAAGACATGTGACGAATATGTAACATTTCAATCAATTTTATCCTTATCGAAACAAGAATTTTTATAGCTCCTCGAATCGATAACTTAAATTAGCATCCTATAAATCAGCCGTTTATTTTTGATCATTGATTTTTATTAAAAATCGATTAAAACGATAAAAGCAAATAATGTGACATATTAACAACAAAAAAAGCACTAAACTTACACGTATGTTTTATTTGATTGCGCTGTGCCATCTTAATAGACGTCACGTGCGACAGAATGCAGATGGCCGAGAGGGCGACTTCCCGTTACCAGCGTTAGGCCGTTAAGTGATCCTAATGCCCGCGGTCTAATCGCCGCTAATACCGGGACCACCATATCTCTCCCTGTCCTCTCCCTCGCCGTCTCGCGCGTGCATTGTCATGCACTTTGACTAACGTTTCTGGCGCTCACCCTCGCCTGCGTGTCCCGTAATGAGGATTACGCCGATGGTCATGCGTATTAATCACCGTCGCTTCGCGCGCACAATAATGATCGAGAGGACGAGTCGGACGGAAGAGCCGTATGGATTTAGCGCGACTGATCACGATTATCGCAGGGCGCGAATGATATTTCGCGATATATTCGGGTTTGCCGAACCTGAACTGTCGCGATGAAATTAATCTTGCACCGTAATAACAAAGGATTTTCTGGGAACCCAACTTGCTTTTTCAAAGAGAGTATGGAACATAGGATGAGAATAAAAAATACGGAAACGCTGAAGTGTGTTATAAATACTTTTGCAAGTGTTTTTTTAAGCTTGCGTTTCTTCAAATCCGAAACAATATGCCGCAACAAAAATAAAAATTCCAATAATTCTATATATTTTGGAAAAGTTAATTCCCAATAAACAATCTAAATTAAAAATTTTATCCTAAAACTTATTTCAGAGGGAAGATTATTTTTGTTATAAAACATTAAAATTTATGCAGCAATAGCTTCTTTTTTTTATGTTCATGAAAATTTAATATTGAGAGAAGAGATAACACGGTCGACTTAATGACGCTAAATATTCCGAGACAAGTCGTTCATCGTAAAGTCCATTACAGTTTATGTTAGTCACGGCATTAAATTAGAGATTAGCAAGAGAAACAAGAAATCGTCGAAGATATTAATTAAAATTCAAACACAACTGGTTATCTCGGTTCTCAGTTTTCGACGTCGTTTATCAGCGACATTCGTTACTCGGGGAATGTTGCTCGGCGAGAGCGCGAGTCTAAGCGTACGGATCTAAGAAGAAGCGGGGAACGTCCGGGGAGAGATATGGCGGTCGGTATTAGTGCCGATTAGGCCCGGACATTAGGGTCACTTAGTACCGGTCAGACCGCGGATCGTTAGCTCGGTGGCGCGCGCGATACCAATCTAAATTTAAATACACCTTAACACCTACTGCTATTTATTGCGCCATTCGGCATCCACGGCCCGTCCGCGGCAGGCCGAGGAGCGCCGGGGCCAATCATGCGCCTGTTAATGGTTCGTCGGCCGAACGAACGTCGTAAATCACGAAATTGGAGATGAGCTCGCAGGTAAGAGCGAGAAAACAACGGGAAGAGAAAAGGGAGGCGGAGGTTATGTTGCCGAGACTGTTTACGTTCACCTACATCTTCCGGTCAGGGCCCCTCCCGGGGCGACTGTCTCGTAAAAATCACGCTTTCTAATAATCATCTGACTTCAACCAGAACGATCGCTCTCTCGGCATCTTCGCCAACTTCTTTCAACAATTAATAATATCCTCTGAAAACTCTATTCACAATTTTCTGGAAAATTTTATAGATTTTTATAACAAATACTTTCTATTATTCACAATTAATTTAAAAAAACCTTATTTTTAGTAGAACTTCTTTAATTATTGAAACATTCGAAAAACTCATTTTTAAAAAAAGTTAAAAATATTTTTAGAAAGAAATTATCTGTTTTTTTTCTAAATCGATAGACCCTGATACAATTGTGCCAATAATGCTACAGGTCACTAATTGCGGATTAATCAAAGCGCGCGTATAGGGGATAAAAGAGAACGATTAATTAATCGACCGATCACTTTACGCTGAATTGCAGCTTGCTCTGAAAATTCCCGTGTCGAACTTCGCACGTAAAGTGTCTTGCAAAAATTCCCAAGTGGCGACCAATGGATCGAATATATCCGTAAATTAAACGCGGCAATGAAATTCGAATATTTTTCCTGGCCGCTCTACACGTATACTATTCAAGTTCAGCTCGAGCCGGTGAAACTCGTTGCGGCGAAAAAACGACGTGTCGACGTCGCGACGCGCCGCTGGACGCCAAATCAAGCCGCGCCTCGCTGTCGCATACGTCACGTCGCGAAATAACCCGACGGCCAGAAGATTGGCTCGCTCCCTCCCGGGGAGAAAAAAAAATGGGGCTACCTCAGCGGGGAGGGACCCCTCTATCTCCCCCTCCCCCTCGTGCCATTTGGCGTTCGGCGTTTTATCACGGTGACGGGACGCCGTGCGACATTGAGTCCTCGTGGAATCGGCGAAGGGGGAATCAGTCGGGCAAGAAATTAAATATTACCCCGGGAGGAGAGAGAGAGAGAGTGTGTGTGAGAGGCTGCGCGCCGAGAGAAGCCCGGGCTCTTTCGCTGCGTCTCGATCGCGAAAATTTTGGTCCTTTTCGCCTAGCAGTACCGTTCTCGATTCAGCCATCATCTCTTCCCCTTTCGAAATCCCGCTCACGAAGAAAAAGGCCACGTCGCGAAGTGGACGCTTAAATTGAGATCATAAAGTCCCGTTCCACTTCAACTTCTTGGATGAATTGGTTGTTAATCCTTTCAAACCTGATATCTATTGCAATGGACATCGATATCTTACTGTAATTTATAATGCGTTTGGAAAAGAGAAGATACTCATGATGCTTGAATAATGCACCATTAGTGTAATGTTGTCTTGTGTCATTGTAATCAATATTATCTTAAATCGTATATTTAGATTTATATAAAATATCTTTTCTGCAGATCTAAGCGCAGATAGAGATGCGCAATTAATTAAATTGCGTTCCAGAAATCAATCTGAAATTATTAATTTATCTTAATAATTTAATTTAACCGTTTGATAAATTAATCATTTTAAATTGACTTCTGGGGAAAATAATTTAATTAATTGCACACCTATATCTTACGTTTTTATCAACCGAGTATTACTGTTTTAAAAGTCTTTACTATTTAAATATTTTTTTACTTGCGCGATAGGATTAATATTTTATTTTTCTTTTTCCTCTCTCATTAACATTGTTTCTAATAATAATTTTTTAACGTGCTTTTATATTGCTTCAGCATTTTATAATTTAAAAATTGAAAAAGGAATGGCACTAATCAATAATTTCTGTAATTTAATGGCATCTCTTTAGAAGTCGATAACAGGGAGAACGCGAAAAAACAGAAGGATGGCGCAACGTGAAAATATACAGCGCTACGAAATGCAACGACAATTTTATATAAAATATATATTTTTCAAGATCTCAAAGTATTCATCAAGTCCACTCTTTAATTTTTTGCGGAACATCACAAATCGGAGCACCCGAGAGCCACTCGGAGGGGCGTGCATCGCATATTCGCGTGTAAAGACATCCCCCTGCACGCACGAGCTGGATTTAAGTCTCATCGTGGACGTAGAGATCGAGTGTCACCGGCTCCCACGGGATATCCAGGACAAATAACATCCTGATATGGACGCGGACAAACAAGGAAGCACGTCTCTCCGTCCGTCTGCCCGCCCATGCCCGTGCGCGTCCTTCTCTCTTCTCATCCTCCCTTTAAACCGACCCATCGGTTAGAGTGGATATCGATTCGAGAAGCCGGGAATTCTCGTTCCGCAAGGATGAAATTGATTGAAATGTTGCTGCAGTGGCTACGCCAATTTAATAGATGTTCAGTTAATACGTCTAATACCGCTCCTCGTTTCCGTGTCGATCTTTGAATTTAAGCTTCAAAAATGATACCGACAATTTCTTTGTACAAGGCGCGATAATATTACAAATGTCGGAAATCGCTATCGTCCGTAAGAATGACATATGCTTAAGAATAAATGTTACAATATGTTATCGTCTAAAAATATATGTGCCATATCGGAGTCGAGCGATAAGTGATAAACGGAATGCAACAAGTAACTCACTCACCAGCCAATGCGTCGCTTCATTTCTGTCCGCTTCCGGGTATCTCTTTTTTTCCTTCTGCTGTAATACGTTTCCTTGGTATGCATCCGGGTGTGTCTCCACTGCAAACAATATTGCACTATCTTTTTTTGCACTTGAAAGTATAATGCACTTGCACTACCACTATCGCTGCCACTCGAGGAGCATGTACTGCCATATATATAAGGGATCGGACGAATTAAGAAATATATTAGATTATCGCGACGTCATTATCAAATTTTGACAAGACGATCGTGCAAACTAACTAACGCGCGGAACGATTGCCTGTTGTTCAATGTACTGACTTTAATCTATTTATCCTTTTAATTCCTATACGTTTCCAAAATGCTTTTTTTTTAATCGGTTTCCCCAATACAAGATTATCTAATATCTATTTTATTTTATCTTATATATTCAAACTTTTGTTCGCGATGCGTGCATACGAAGGATTTGTCTCATTCGTTAGTCAACGATTTCTACAGTTTGGCACATCGGGCGCGCTCTTACGAGAATCTGGAGAGCGGCGGGGCGCGTTAAACGGGTAGATTTATTTCTGTATAAAAGCGTGACTAAAAATCGCCGTATATCACCGCACGCGCCGTGTTGCGCACTCGCTTGTACGGCCCAACTGGGGCCGGTCGGGTCCGCCGCGGATGGCCGGGCTTAAGCCATGCCGGTGGGGTTAAACCGCGAGTCGTTTGTCATGCTTTTTACTAATAAGCCGGTAGCCGCGCTTTAATGCGGCCGGAGTTGGCCGTTGCCAACTTTGTCCCCGGCTTCGAGAACTGCGCGGCGAGCGGCGGACGACGGCGAGCGGGGACGGTGGCGAAAAAGCGAATAAATCGAAGGTAACGAGCGCTGCGAAGTTTCGCTCTCGCGGCGAATTTCTGCCGCGGTCGTGGCGGAATACGAATCGCACGCGGGAGATTCGCCAGACGCGGCGCTAATTGGTACGGCCGCGCCGATACCTCGAAGCCATCGGCTTCTGTCTCCTTTTTCTCCTTGCGTACAATGTTTGCGACGCGGGCATGATTGATGATAGCACTAAACGGAAGAGACTTTCGATTAAATTCAAATTGAGGGACGCGGAACGATCGACGCTAACGCATGTTATCCTTTATTTTACAGATGGATGCTTGCAGTCGAGATAATCGGCATACGGGGGTACCGTTGCTCAGGATGGAACGACGAAGAGGTAAAGTGTCCTGCAAAAATAATTTTTAATTTCGGATTTTTTGAACGTTACCTATCACGCTTGTGTTATTGCGAGAAGCGCAGAATTTTGCCGAAACTTCTTTCAGAAATATTATTAGATGATGGAAGATTTAGAATTAGGTCAAGACTTTGAGAGATCGAATTTAATTGTAATTAGGAATTACTTTGTTTATGTGATATCCTGGGCGTGAAACGCTCGAGATTTCTAGATCAGTATCTTTTCTGCATATACAGATTAGATCTCACCTCGTATCTATCATGTCCTCGCGGCCGCGCGTTTCGGGCTTTACGCGATAATAATGATCGTCGACATCGATAAAGCGGGACATGCGGTCTCGCATGCAAGATGCGCGTAAAAATCGAACGGTAAATAATTGCGGCTGTCTGCCGTGGTGCCGTATGCGGTAACAGATACGGTTGCATTTCATCCCGACGTTGTGCGCTTTAGCGGGTAAACAAACGGCACTTCATAAACCGCCCGTCGGAGATACGATCGTGCTATTATTTATTGACCTTTCGAATTTACCGTCGCGCACACAAGCGCACTCGCGAAATTAGTTTGCCTTGAATTATCTTTCGCTGTTCGAAATTATTGCGCCATTGAAATCCATTTTTCGACAGTCATTTCCCGGCGGTGGGTCCCCCGAAATTTTTGCTTGTTTGTAATGATCGTACACACGACTATTGGATGCGTCGACCAAACTCGGACACCACGACCGAGACAGAGACGGACGACAAAGTTGTCTCGCTCTGAATCCGTAAAATAATTTATCGAGAAATTTAAAGAGGAAGGGAATTGCAGGAAATAAATATAACAATTAATAAGCGTTATTAGTGAAACAGACTGCCGCTATTAAAGTTAACTATTAAACCGCATCGTTTTCCCTTTGAAAAATGAGGATACTTTCCATGTTCTACGGTTCATCTTTCTATTTTTACCACGTATCGATCAAACGCCATCGAGACGCGGACCTCGCCTCCCCTTTCCCCCGCGTACGGGGAAATTTTTGAATTTCTACGGGGTCGAATTCACGTTATATTGTCCCCGGCGGTGGGTACGGACCCTCCGAAATCCGTTCCGCCCCATGTACGCGTTGCCGGACGTGAAATATAAGGCAATTTCATGAACCATTAAGAATGGAAGTTCATAAGTCGGCAGCACGTGTTTTCGGTGTTAACCCGGTGTAGAGAAGGCGAAATGAGATTTTTCGAAGGGCGGTCCCCCTCCTGGGCCACCCACCCTCGGCTCCGGCATTGACGTATAACGGGTGTCTCGCGATAGAATGAAGAAACTCGCGTGCGGTGACGTACCGCGTTCTATCGAGACTCGAAATGGTCCCTATATCCTTCCTTTTTCGTGGTGGCATGACGATTTTTTATAGCACCACCGCCGTGTCAAACTCGTCCCCACGGATGATATAAGATTCCACGTTTTTCCGCGGGCGACAGAATAAAAATGTCGATACTGCATCGTCTGCATCTTGCCGATCTGAAAACTTCGACGCGTGCATTTCGATTATTTCTGTTACACTGAGAAACATTAATAATCTAAAAACTACATCTACGAGTACTTAAGAGTATATTTTAATAATTTATTAATTACGTATTAATTAATTAATCACATTACATATTAAGTGCATTTGCTGTGAGAATTTTTTTATTTAAAGTTTAAAAAATCGGAAAAAGTGTTTAGAAATATTTAAGTATTAATGTTAAATACTAATTTTCTTGGTGTTCTACAATTATCTACAATTTTCGTCCTTCTTTATTCTACCTGCAAAGTTCGGAAATGCGTCTATTTCACCTCGAGCACAGACAGCGCGGCAAAAAGCAAGGGCCCACCGGCTCGGTAACCCTTTTTTTCACACGGGATCCTGGATTTCTCGGATGTAATAATTAAGGGAACCCGCGAACCCGCCTTCGCCGCAAGGATCCCACGATCATGGGAGAACAACAACCTTCCTCCGTGCTTCTTCTTTCTCTCGCCTCGAAACGACCCCGTTCTTATACATCCTACGACCGCGACGGTGAAGGCTCTCGAAAGCACGGACGGGGGAAAAAGGGGGGGGGGAGAAGAGCCGCGGGAGAGGGGAAACGGCGGGGCGCCTTTATAATTTCACCCCTAATTTATTTTACAACGGGGCTAATAAAAAAAAACCGAGCGCGCCGCGATATATCCGCCGGTCGAGCGGCGGGGGCGGGACGAAAAAGTTGAACGCTTTCTTGCTGATCCTCGAACACGCGTCGAACAAAGGGCGCCGCGGCGCGCCCTTCGTCTTCTCGCCCTGCTCGCCCTGCAGCGCGGCAGTCTCTTCTGCATAATGCCCCGTCGAGCTGACATTAACCGCACCTGTTTCTCGTTTTTCTTTTTTTTCCCTCCCCTCTTGCAATGCTAATTACACGCGTGCCTAGGCGAACGTAACACGAGCCGGAGAGAGGCGGATACAAGTTTATGTTTTGGGAAAATTTTAAGGCGGATCCACTCTCGCGATCCTGCTTTTCCAAGTAGGTTTTCACGCTTGTTTACGTGGGAACTCTTAATTTTCTAGTACCTCGATGAAGTTCTCTAAAATTTGTCTTATCCCTTTACGATTTCCCGCCTCCCCAGTCGATAATTTTTTCGTATGTATGCTTAAGAAAATGTGTGTGTATATAGCTGCAGAGAAATTTAGAATTCACCGGTGGCACTTTCTTCAAGAAAAACATAGAGAGATTCTATGATTATTTATATAAGGATAGAAAATACATTAACATATTTATATGAATGCATTAAGGGCATTTGTGGATCTACGGTATAAACACAATTTTTCAGCATTACTTTTATGCTACACGTTCATACTCGTCCTTCATCTCCTCTACTCGCCGTTCTCTCTCGCAACCAACACTCTCCAGCCAACGGCGAAAAAAATGTGAATAAATCATACAACAACGCACACTTATAATGAGCAACAGCTACGCCGTTGGGATTAAATTTGATTTGGTTTCTCTTTCGGAGGGATTAAAGCGCGTCCGAAATCCTTTAATATCGCGACTGCCCAAACTGATAATTGCGCCGTATTAATTAATCCGCGCGCTCTAAACGGCCCGTTCATCCGCAATGACAACAAAAAGTCTCTCGCTCTTTCGCAATTACTCGCGATTATTCTCGTTTTGCCAATCGATGGGCCACGCAACCTCGCGCAATTTTATTATTATGCGCGTCCACACATGCGGCACCTTCGTCCCCTTCCCTCCTCCCCTCCTCTTCCACCTTCACCCAGCGCGGCAGGTATATAATGCGGAATTCCGATCGCGGCGTCGCGCCATATACATATATGTGCGTTAGTGACCGATAAAAATTAATTAACAGAGGCGTCGATGAACCCGGCCCCGGTGCAGAATATTTCGCGAATAATAAAACATCGATGGGAGAGGGGGGGGGGGGACGAGCCCCGATCGTTAACGGAAGCTGCGAAGCGATCCACCGCCACAATGCAATAGCTTGAATGCACTCGCGCTGCATTGCGCGCAAACACGCGTACCACTCCGATAACGTCGGATTCTCCTCCTCCTTTTTTTCCCCCCTCTCTGTATAATTTATGGTAAGCGATATCCTAATTAACCTCGTTCTGGATCGCGACTACCGTTGGCACTCGCGAAATTTTGAGGATTTAATTACGGACGACGGTGATAGGAGCAATTTAAATATCGCGCAAAAGTTTGTTAATCATTGCGCTAAAAGGGCGGGATTGGGAGATAACAAGTGAAGATTATCTAGAGTTTGTTTCCCGAAATTCATGTCGCTTTCTCTCCCCCCCCCCCTCTTTCGTTGTAATTTTAGAAAAATATTATACATGATCCCGCGAAGAGAAAACTCGGCTGAAAGGAGTTGAGGATTAATGATACAGCTCGATGAAAACTAATGAAAAACTCTACAAAAAAAGGAAACATCGCTTGTGTTAAACGCGGCATTAATGGAAAGCGAAAATATGCCAGCCGGAGGTGTACACAACGGTGATTTTTGTCGTTGCGAAGTGGTTTAATCGCGCCGGCCATAAAGTCGCGCGCGCGCACACCCTTTGTGACGCTACGTAACAAAAGTCACGTCGTGATCACGTCGCTCTTCTTCCCTTTCACGCCGAGCCTTTAAAAAAAAGAATGCCGGGGGCGAGAAAAAAGAGAGAGAGGGAGAGAGAGAGAAAACGTCGGAACAACCCTCGTCGCTCTCGAGTCTCGAGTTACAACGTGGCCGCACTCGTTAAACATCCCTTCGACCCGGTCTCGTCTTTCGCTCCCGCCGCGCCGCGCCGTATCGACGAGGTCGACGCGCGACAAAAGCGCAGCGAGTAACAATAATAACGGTGACAATAACAGCGACACCTTCCGAGGGAGGGAACCCTCGCGCGGAGGAAAAACCCGCGTTCGTTACCCCTTTCGCTCCTCCCCGTCCGTCGTTTCCGAATGCCGTTGCCACTTAACATGATATACGCGGCGCGCCGTATCGGGGAGGAAATGTCTGAATACGACCAATAAAGAATCATTTTTCAATAGAAATTATAACGAAATTCAACGGGTTTCTTTTTCACATCGTGTCGTTATCGGGAAATGCCGTATAGCAATGAATTGGAGGAGCTCGTAGACAATACCTATCTTTTTAAAGAATCTAATGAACTATTGTCATTTTCAAGTAACAATTGAAGCAATTAAAGCAATTTGTTGATCAGGTCGCAGATAGAAAACGAAATCATCTTGAAATTAACTGAGGAAAGACTATAGCTTCTCCATATAATTTGCTAACAAGAACGACAAAGTCGGTATTGTGCGCTAGAAGAATCGAGAGAATGTGGAAATTTTTCTTTTTTTTTTTTTCGCTACTCGAGACAGTCATTCACACTTTGAATGAAAGAAAATTAGTTGCCCGCGTCTCATATTACTTCTGTCAATTCCTTTCTCCCTACCGTTCAGCAACATCCTGCAGGCGCTACGAATATTCGGCCAAAG